ACAAGAATGAAGCAAGACCAGCGAAAAGGAGACGCCTGGATCAATTATCTACCACTAATATGAGGAGGGAGACTCTATTAGGACTTGGAGAAAGAGGATTGCGGACTAAGGGACAGTCTTGGATCAACACTGCCAGGACAGTGGGAGGAAACCAGTGGTGAGTGTGAATGAGTTTCGACTAGGTTTATACAAACACATAATAAGTTGTGAAATTGAAGATGTGATATGAGGATATGTTATAGATGAATACACTAGGACAGAAGGAGAGATACCACAACTGTTTAGCAGACAATTGGTCAAAAAGTCGACTCCACTTGTCTCTCTGACGATTTGTGGTGTGGTGCTAATAATGGCAAGGCTCACTAACGATGCCGGCGAAACGTCTGGGAATGTACCAAGTCGACGGTTCAACTCTGGAAATTATCATGGATACTATAGACTCCGGACAAGGCCCGTTCCTCCAGAGCTCCCTGACAATACGAACGAGTTTCAAAAACAAGGTCAAACAACATTACTTATTAGTTGTATTCATACTATTTCATTTAAGATGATGAAGGACTGTTATTTGATCTTTCCTACAATGATATGAGTAGAGCTGACGTTTCCATTAAATTTTATATAACATTGCTTTCCAAAAACATGTTCTCATTTACGGTGGACTGCCGTTTCGACCTCGCATAGATCTTATTAACACCCCAAGATGGAGTCGAACCATGAAAGTGCAGCGTGTAAGCTCGACACATTAACCACTACGCCACATTGTCACGAGTGCCCTTGGGTCACAGGACAAATGTGAATTTCAAGGAATGTCAGCCATTTTCCATATCCCGTTCTGTATTGGGATTGTCGATGAAGCAAACTTATATTTGTTATAGTAATCGAAGATCTTAATTTTTTCGTGAGTAGATTTACGTCAGCCCTACTCATCTCATTGTTGGAAACTTCTACTACTAGTCCTTCATTACCTTAAATGAAATAGGGTGAATACAACTCATATATATGATTTACTAGTAGTCTCGAAAACCTACTTACTTACGAAAAATATTACTTATTTCCGCCTCATAAGTAGGCTTTCGATATTAATAGTAGATCTTATATAAAAGAAGTATTCATCCTATTTAGTTTAGCGTGATGATGAACTAGAAGTTAAATTTTAGTACAATAAAATGAGTAGGCCTCATGTTTCACGCAGAAAAAATTATTTGACCGTCCTTCATCCATTTAAATAATATAAGGTAAATACATCTATTCTATAATATCTACTGATAATCTCGAAAACGAGTTTATAAACGAAATATTATTCTTATGTGCTATACTACCAACCTGGCAAGTAACTAGATACCTTTCCGGGGTTTTGCCGGCATAATAATTAAAATGTACAGTGAGTAGAACCAGATTTCGCAACCTATATATTGCCAGTGGCGAAAATTCTCAGAATGTAAATGATCACATCTGGGCGAATAATATGGTCACAGAGGAGTGTCAATATGGACAATCTGTAGCTCTTCGGAAATAACCTTTGATGCGATTTCAACCAACACCAACGTGCCGAGTGAAGGGATGTCTGATCAAGCCACCGGCAACTGATTGGGTAGATAGTGTTCATACTATACCATGTAAAAAGGATAGATTCGAATTATAATTTAATCGGAGACAAGGTTCTTACAGAGTTATCACAATAGCCTCACAAACGTTTAGCTAAAGGCACTTATCTAAGCAAAATAAACAATAAAAACTTACTCATAACGCTCAGTCAGAATATCAACCATTATTTTAGATTGAGGATCGATGGCATCCGCAAGATCATCGGTGTCCTCGAATAGTAATGCTCGCGAAACCACAAAGCAAGGGGCGGCTGAAATAAAGCCCATGCGGAGGAAAAGCCGATACAGGCCTGCCAATACGAGTTCAGGAAATAGGTTGAAGCGCTGGAGAGTGTTAATACCGTCAATCTGAGATTTGTTACTGTCGTACGGATTGAGCCCAGAGGCCTGATCGGAATGGGCGTCTACGGAAAGTTGTGTAAACGGATGACTGGGCCACTCGGTTCTATTGTCATGAAGCAAGCCAGCTAGCCCATCATCGAATAGACGATGTGAGCCAACCAGCTAGCATATGAGAGATAGGATAACATAAAAATATCAGTATAAATAATATTAGACAAGGATTAAGTAAGTAATTGCAAAAATGCACTCTTAACTAATCATCTATATATTACTAATCCGAAATGATAGGTTTAAATAAAATTGGAGAGAGTCAAAAGCTTACCAGTTTGCATGGTTCTTAAGTATAGAAAATTTTCAAACGCATTTACTTATCAAGACATTAGAGTGTATATGTTGAATTAACTGAGTTATATGGCTAATATTCATATTTTTCTCCTAGAAGGAAATTGAAAAATAATTAAAAGAGTGCCTTGATGACAGATTGAAATAAAACTAAATAAGTAAGAAGAGAATGCAAGAATAAAATGTCCTGCATTACGGAACGGATGGCCTTTTGCAACACAATCAACGGTGAAATCTATTTCGCGTATGATTTTTTATTGCTAATGCTATTAAATGGCACGAGATATAGGATGATCCTCAAAAAGTCCGATTTACTGACAAATTTTGGG